CACCTAATATCAAAATAACTTAGGTTATAAGGCCGAACGGCCAACCAAGCAAGATTTTTCGGTTGAAGAGACTCAAGTGAGAGTTCACAAAGAACGTTCCTCACTTAGAACGTTCCCTAGGTCGAGAGTTCGCGGAGAATGTTCCTCACCAAGCGGCGGACTCTAGGAGTTCACTTAAAACGTTCCCTAGGTCGAAGAGACTCAGGTGAGAGTTCACGAAGAACAGTTCCTCACTGAGCGGCAGACTCTAGGAGTTCACTTAGAAAGTTCCCTAGATCAAAGAGACTCGGGTGAGAGTTCACGAAGAACGTTCCTCACCGAGTGACGGACTCTAGTAGTTCACTTATCAGCAAGCTGAAAAAATTCAAATTCAGCCCGACCCACCACAGGTTGGTGAGTTAAACGGGTTGACTCAATAACTCACTTAAATTTTACTCTAAAATGATGTTAAACTTCTAAGACAATTCAAAATAAAAGAAAAATAGTATATAATCAAAGTGTAATCCAAAAACAAACATAAAAAGCGAACAAATAATTTTTGAATAATGATAATTTTTTGTATCATTTTTTCATTTATAAATCTATAATAAACATTTTTTTTATCCCCGTTTACAATATAATAAAAAATGCTAATTAATAATATTGAAACACAAAATAATAAATAATTAAATTAAATTAGGTGAGTTGTTGAGCCAATTCAACTCACAATATAATATCGACGTGATCAGTTACTTATTTAGCATGAAATAACTAAAATAACATGTTATTTGTAAAATAGTTGTCTCTTTGTTTATGTTTTCATATTTTTTATTTTTTCTCTTTTAAACTAAGTATCTCAAAAAATTACTTTATTTTATGTTATACTACGTTTTATTTTCTTCTTACCAAAACAATAAATAATAATTTTACCTTTAGGCGCGTTTTTTTACGCAGAAACGTGTAGTCAAAGGCATTGGTAACTTGCATAAATTATGCTAATCCATTTTTCTCGGGACTCGTGAAGCATGATATAGGTACCTTAGCTGAGTCTTGATAATAAATACTTATAAATAAGTTTTTTATTAAAAATAATAAAGAGATAAATTATAAATTACGATAAAAGTAGACTAACAGAAATATTTTTATCTTTAATTACAGAGTTAATATTTGCGATACACTTGTTAAAATTAACTGTTCAAATCCATGTTCCATTACCGGAGAACGGGGAATGTTAGTTGATTAATTCACAAGTCACCGTAACAATGATTAGGTGTTTTTTCTTTGTCCGGTAACTCTGGCGGGAATTGAGAGTCCGAAGATCAAGGCGTAAATGTCTATGAACACACACGACAATTCTCTGCTTTACGAAAGTCTTGTCCTCTTTTAGAAAATGTTATACTTATTTTCCTAATCTAATCCCTTGTTAAATGCTTAATTTTTTCTTAATCCTAAATCATTGGAATTGCAAATACATGTGGTGTAAAGTAGCACTCATCTTTCGCACATCCCTCCACATTTTGCGTGTCATATTGTTTAGGGTTATTATTACTTTCACACAAAATTAGTTAAAATGCAAACAACCTCTAATCAAACTCAAAAATAATTCCTCAATTTAGGCTGAATTATTGGATGGACATTAGTTTAGTTAGTTAATCATTATATTCTTACAGGTTATTTCCAATAAACTCGTGTCATGTATTAGTATGAATTTTGATGATGTTATTCAAAAGTTTAACAATAATTCATCATTACAAATTATTAAAAATAAAAAATAAAAAATAAAAAAATACAAATATTAGCATCATCTTCTTTGAATATTATAATAAATCACTCAATGAGTCAAATAAATCATAACAAACTAAAATAGAATTACCCTTTTATTTTAAAAATAAAAGAGTGTTTCCTTAAAACAACTAAAATAGAATTACTCTTTAATAAAAATAAAAGAGTCTTTCCTTCAAGCATCTAAAGCATAAATAACTCTTATAAACCTAAAAGTATATAGCTTAAAAAAAGTTAAAAAGAACTTACATCATATTCATTTCGATTTTATTTAAAAATAATAACATATAACTAAATCAGAACAACTTTTACTTATATCCATCTTAATTAACTCAATTCACAGATGAAATTTATCATATTACATCCATAAACTATCATATTTTTCTATATTGAAAAATTTTAATATAAAAAAAATCAAAAACAATATTATTTATATGTTTCTTAAATTTATTTTGAGTCATGTACAATTTTTAATTTGAAAATATTAAAAATAAAAATAATTAAAATTTAAAATCTATTGTATTTTTCATTCTTCAAATCATCTAGATAAATATAATAACAACAATCACTTCATATTTAAAAAAAAAACTAGAAGAAGATTTTATGAATTAAACTAAATCTAAATAAAAAAATACAAATCTTATAAAAGAGCATTGGATTATTCCCACAGTCATATAACAACCAAATAATATATATTATTCACTAGAAGAAACAATGACCAAACAATAAGTTTCTTTTGGCTTAAGATGAGTTTGATTAGATTACAAGTTTGTGTGTTTAAAATGTAAGTGATACATTCACTTTATTCCAAACAAACAATAAATGTATATAAATATTAATTATTTAATACTTTCATTGTAATTTACTAATATTTGAATACTAATATCGTATAAATACTATAATTAAATATTTTACAAAATAAATTATTAAATTGATCATTTATAGGTAATATTGAGTTTGATCTCTTATCTTCAAAAGATTAAATTCAGTCTTTAAAAAAAAAGTTAAAATTATTATTTTTTTTTAATTTAAAATGAAAGTTGTTATGTTCTTGTCACATTATTTTGTAGTTAATAAATTGATTTACTTTTAATTAAATTATAAGTAAACAATTTATTTTAGTTTTTTTATTTAGAATCCAATGATTCAATTTATAAGTTATATATAAAATTATAATTATTCATTAAATATATTTCACAACTTTATTTTTATTTTACTTCAGTATCTTATGAGACTTATAACCATAATTATACATCAGTATTTGTTTACTTACATATATATATATATATATATATATATACATATACATGATTTTTATAGTAGTTATGAAATTTTATTTATATATTTTTCAGAAGTAGACTAGTTAGTGTGGAAAGGGTTCATACGAGTGGATGTAATGGGGATGACAAAAGATTAAACTATCAATAAGTGTGAGGAGTGTCGATCTTGTGCCCTGAAAGTCATGTTATAGTTTTGGGTGTTCATATTCCATTGCATATCCAAAAATGTAGCTTATATCAAGATAGAAAATTGTTTAATGTATAGGGAAGTCATCCATTTACGTGTGATAATATATACACATGTATTTATTTTATCATTTTTAAAGACAAAAAGAAACAAAAACAAATAATTAAAGGAAGTGATAACAAATATTATGGAGATAAATTAATATGAAATAAAATAACATACGTATTTAAATTTTCCTTTTCTTTCTTCATTTTTATCTAAGGAAAATAATTATAAATTATTTTTATAATAACTATTTGAATAAAAAGATTCACCATTTATACAATATTGTTTCATCTTAATACAATCAAGGACAAGTATTGATGTTAACCTTCTAACACGCAGACTCTTAATAAATATTCCAAAAATTGAATGATTTTTTCACAATATCCATAGTAAATGAAAAATTAAGCTAAGGTGGAATTTTATTTCTAAGGCCTGATGCAAATTTCTCCAAAATTTATAAGTAAACATAAAATCTCTACCAGATACAATACTAGATGGAATTTCATGTAATGTTACAATTTCTCTTATGTATAATTTAATCAGTTTTTCTAATGATTTCATGATGTTGATGGGTAAGTGGGTAAGAGGTGAACAAACTTCATTGGTCTATCCACGATAATCCATATGGAATCAAACTTTTGAACATTTTGTGGTAAAATATTTACAAAATCTATTTATTTACTATCATATTTTCATTCCAATATATCCAAGGATCATAGTATTTCTAGTGACATTTGGTGTTCTATCTTACCTTTATGACAAACTCAAAACATTGTTATACATTGTACTACTTTCTTGTTAATCTTGGAGGAATGACAACATTTTCTTAAAATTTTGATACATTTTTGTTGTGTCTATACGTATTCTCCTAAATTATCATTTCATGTTTTTTTTAAAATAAATTCTTTGTATTATGTATAGATTTTATATTAAATCTGTATCTGAAATTATTTAATCTAAGATTTATTTGCTTTAATTTTTTTACAACATTTTTTTTTCATATCTCAATTTTTAACGTACTTTGAAATACTTTAATTCCCCCCTATAGATATTTACTTATATTTTTCTTTTTAATTTCTTTAAAAGAAAATTATACTTACTAATGTATCAAAATTCATCGATATTACATATATATACAATATTAAAATAGATTAAATAATGCAATTAGATAGCAAAACGTAAATTATGTACGATAATCACACATGTCGCAATGAGTCCCTTTAACTAATCATGTGACTGACATATCATATCACATGTCAGGCCGAAATATATTTGTCAAAAATGATAAACCCACGGGAAATTTCGATCTTTAAATTGAAAACAAAAAATTATAAAGAACTCCACAAAGAGAGGTAAGAAACCGTAATGAATACCAAAATTTCAGTCAGTCAAGCCCTTTATTTTATTGTACGATTTGAATGAGATGTATTATTTTGGAATTGAAAGTAGTTCCCAACAATGGAGCTCAATTTGCCTAAAATTTAATAAAATTGGTGCACATTATCCAATCACTGAGACCAGAAAAGTATCCCATGTGCAAAAGGAAGGGAATCTCAACTCAACTCAACGTCTTTGGCCTACAATCGTGGAAATTAATGAATAGCTTGCCAATGAAAATTTAGGGAATGAAAAAACATAGTAACTGACTATGGTTTGAATTAACTACATTTGCTTTAACTAAGAATTAAAAATGGCAATCATTGTGGAACATGGATGCCACCAAGGCCAAAACAGTTGACAACATAACCACTCTCGAACTCTAATCTCAACCCCCACCCCTCTATATAACACCCCTTCCTCCTACCTACAAAACATCCTCAAATCTCCAACACAACATCAAAATGAGGCACTGCATTTCAAGACATTGTTTTTTCACACTAGCTTTGTTTGTGTTGCTAACCACAAGCACCCATGGTATTGTTGTGCCAACCCAAAACCAACCGAGAAGCTTTGCAAACCAATTTCTGATCCCCCAGAATGCAGCACGTGCGTCGGTGAGGCAGCGTCCCTTGGTGTGGGACTACAAACTGGTACGGTACGCCCAGTGGTATGCAAACCAGAGGCGCAGTGATTGTGCCCTGGAGCATTCGAATGGCCCTTATGGTGAGAACATATTCTGGGGCAGTGGGACGGGGTGGAAGCCAGCACAGGCTGTTAGTGCATGGGTTGAAGAGCGTCAATGGTACAATTATTGGCACAATTCTTGTGCGGATGGAGAGATGTGTGGACATTATACTCAGATTGTGTGGAACACTACTAGGAAGGTTGGTTGTGCTAGCGTTGTTTGCTCTGGAGGGAAGGGCACCTTCATGACCTGCAACTACGACCCTCCTGGTAACTACTATGGAGAAAAACCTTACTGAATTTCTCTAATTATAACCACTCAGACAACACATTATCCTGCCCATGTTCTCCTCTGCCATCTGTTTCCCATGTGGCTTTAATTCTGCCTCTGTCTCTTGTCTTCAATCCTGTAACTACTCTGTATCCTTGTTTTTATTGCTTGTCTAATATCAACACCAAATTTCTAATAGTAATATGCTTTCTTTCCTTTGCTTTTTGGATTTCTTTTCTTAACATTTAAGCAAATTTGGAAATCAGAATAGTTGTTCTTAGGAATCTGTCCAGTCACACGCAGCATTTTAAAGCTTTTTTTTTCTAGCTAGATTTGTGTCGTACTATGATCATCATAAGCTTGTATCCGGTTGGTCTCATCGTTTCCTTTCCAAGAGTGTTGCTAATGTAATTTTTGAGGCATATCCAAAAAAATTATATGGTGAGGATGAAACCAAATTATCAAAATAGACAGAATGGTAGCTATGGCCAAGTGGTAGTAGGAAGCCCAGATAAAAATGGAAGATAAAGATGTGACTTGTTATAGTCGTATTTAATTTAATCTATTTTCAGTTGAATTAGTTAGCAATTTAGTACATGATATTTGAATACCAAGTTGGACTAAACCAACTTTAATGAGGTGACATAAAAGATGATAAAAAAACTAAAGAAACATGCTTCATCAAACGAGAAAAAAAGAAACTACTTTAGGTTGAAATACTCCAAAAACGTTTTACGATTTTAAAAAATAAGAATTGTATAGATTAGCTAAATCCTTCTTTTTCTAAGTTTAAAAAAATATTCTTCTTCCTTATCAATGAAAAGAAAATACATTCAATAAAGATAAATAATTTAAATTAATTGAGCATTTAAAATAAATTCTCCCAACTCTAATAAACTGATATGTTTAAAGAATTATGCGACGGTATCGAATTTTAATTAACAAAAAACTCTATTTATAAAAAAGAAATATTTTAAGGTATTTTAATAATTTTTATTTTTAATTTAAAATAAAAAAAGTTAGAAACTATTCAAATATCTTTAACTTTAAAACTTAGAATCCATAAGATATGAGAATAATTTTGTAACTAAAATTTAAAACATTTTAAGAGATTACATAAATTAACAAAAAAAAAATATATATATATATATATATATAATATTTTTAATAAATGATGTTCAAGTTATGTGTTCAATAAAATATTGCTTACCCACTCATTTTCTTTAAACATCACATATTGATTTAAAATAACAAATTATAACAGTATAAAATTAAAGTTTAAAATATAAAAGTTAAATATTTTGTTTATAAACAAAAAAAATTAAATGATTTAATTTTGAAGAAATTACAGTAGTCTCTTTTATTATAAAAAATGATCATACTTCTTATTTTATTTATATTTGTATTTGTATTAAATTATATGAAAATATAATAATTATTTAATAAATTTAAGTATGTATTTTATAACTATTTATTTTTTATAGTAAAATAATATTCTCCTAAATGATATGACTTTCATAAGATAATTTATAACTGAGCCATTATATTTTTTATACTGTAAATATATAATAATTACATCGTTTTCTGAATAAAAATCTTTAATTTTAATGTTTTAAAACTAATTTTTATTTTTTATACTTTTTATTTAATATTAAATATGTTAACTTTACAATAATTAAGGAGGTGATACGTGCCATTTTTTACCATAAAAGAAATTTATATATGCTTAAAGACTAGAGAGTACAAGTATTAGTATGTGAAAAGCATAATAGTGGTAATTTAGATTTTAGTTATTTGTCACACGAATACTTAATTCCTCACACAAATAAGCCCAATTTTGCATAGTTATAAAGATTTTAGGATAAAATATACTTTTGTATCGTATCTTGTTATTTTTTAGTTTCCTAAGTTTTAAAAAAAGAAAGAAATTCATCATATCAGCAGGCAACTCAAGTTTGCAGAGTTGACAATCAGATACACTTCACCTGGAAGGATAAATACTTTATTCCAACCTTGACTCAGATGCTGGGATTTAAGTGTTTCAAGTAACAACGTGTAAAAATAAGTAAATTGAAATACAAAATGTTTTGGAAAGAATGTTCTCATTCTGATCAAGTTGTTAATGTACAATAACTCTTAGTGACTGTGCAGTGCAACCCCAGCATCGCTGGGTGCACACACTAATGAGTCATTCGGAGAAATATCACTAAGAAGTTACAACTAAGAAAATACAACACAAGACATAAATTCAATCTATACATAAATATTAACACAACTTTTAATCCAAAAACTCTAAAACAATAAACTTATAAATATTCATCAAATTTCTTATCCTTTAATGAGACATTTTTAAAACTCTATAATTTATTATGTATTATAAGAAATTTTAATTTATTGAAATATTATTATTTTTTTATTTTAAATCTGAAATTTAGGTAAAATAATAAACTTATTGTCAGCCTATAATAGACTAAATTGAACTAATATTTTTACATGTGTACCGTATGGATCGGACGGTCATATACACACCCCACACCAATCAAGTCAGACGATCCTATAGGACAGGAAGCAACTTAGTGAGGGAATGCGACATAATCGATAGCCAAGACTAAACGACAAAACATAGAGACGTCCGGTCTTAGTCATTAGTCAATAAACATATTTATATACAAAGATTAAGGTAAATGATAATTAGAGACACTGGGCTGAGATTGGGCCAAGATTAAGGTTTCACTAATTTCAAGCCCATGTCAAAAACTATAAATATAAAAACTATAAATATAGGTCAAAGGTAAAAGGTAAATGATCAAATTTATTGTGCATTTATTATCATTATTCTAAACTTTCGTACGAACAATATTCCAAGAAAAATTTTGTAGGTATTTGGAGTGACTCCATCTTATACCCAAAACAACATGTAAAATTAGTTTAAATAACCTTTTTATAAAATGAATCAAAGGATGTCCAACCCAACAAACCAAGTTATAACCCATGCAATGTACTACAACCCATAAAAAAAATTAAGAATGTTGTGTGACGCTTATTATAAAATATTTTAATGCTTCCGGTCAATTTAACAAATAGGTTTCTTGAGTTAAAGAATCTTTCGGAGCACGCTGGATGATAAATTACTAGATAGTGCACAACATGTCATGCCGACCAATTTTCATATACATAATTATATTTTTAATTTATAAAAAAATTAATAACATGCTACAAAGAGGTCAGTTCAATTTTCAGAATTTTATACCATAGATGTAATCTAACAATTATTTAACCATTCATTTATAATAAAATTGCTAAGAAACTAGCTCCACTCATTACTAGCACTTATTTTTATTTAGATATACATATTTTACTATAAAGTTTTTCTTCGTATTAGTGAAATTTATACTTTCTCGTTTTTAAATAGATTGACTTTAAAAAAATTTCATATAGATTAACGAAAGCAATTAGTTGAAAGTAATGTGTCTTTTGGTCTCAATTTTATAGTATTGGTAATGGTGAATGACAATTTTGGTCGTGCTCATAATTAACCGGATTGTTAAAAAATATTTGAAATAAACTAAATTGATTCGGAACTTAATTGAAAAATATAAAAGAAGTTATCTTTAAAATAAAAATCACACTCAATTGTTTTATTAATTTAGTTTTTAAAAATTAAATTAGTATATCTTACACTAAATTGAAATATAATTTATAATATTAAAGAATATGATTCAAAATAGAATGGCTGGAGATAATAAAATTTTAGTTAAACTATGTTACTAGAAAACTAGCATCTTCTAATAAAAAAATATTAAATGAATATAATTGAAAAACAAATCTCAACCCAACTATGATTTAAAATAGAAAGGCTAGAGATAATTAGTTAAATTATGTTATAGTTGAATTCAAAGTTTAGTTTAATTTCATAATAGTTAAAATAGTTAAATTAAATAATTGCATTTTGCCCACCCCTGTTAACCAGTGGGTTTGTTTCTTTTACTGTGTCACATTTTGTCAAATTTACTGCTCAAACACTGATTCCACTTATATAATAAACTTTTTATTAATTCAATAAATGAACAGAGAATGTCTGACAACTAAGATTGAATATGACATAAACTTGCATACAAAAATTAAAATCAAATTGGTATTAGTAAATTAAGGTTTATGAATAATGGGTTGTGTTGGGTGCCCCGATAAATTAAGAGCAATGGATAATGCAGTGAAGTAAGTCATGCATATCAGACAACTCAAGCTGCCATAGTTGGCAAATCAGAAGGAATTCACATGGCACTGGATAAATTTAAGAAGAAGCAACACGTACTGGTTAATAATTAATTTAATCAATTCCACAAAATTATTCCACTCAGCAAATGTATATACGAGAAACTCAATTCACATTCACAATAGCAAGCAGTTCAGCAATTACATAATCTAATACTGTTTTTTCATTCTAGCTACATGCATAATCATGCACACATACTTTATATAATTTAATAGGGTCGCTCTCCAACATAATTGCCGACGGGATCATAATTACAAGTCATGAAGACATCTCCATCGTCGCATACAACACGGGCACATCCAATTCTTCTGGTGCTCTTCCACACTATCTGAGTGTAATGGCCACACATCTGACCCGGTACACAGGAATTGGTGGCATAGGTGTAGTACTTCTCTTCATCAGCCCACACTCTCACAGCATCAGACGGTGTCCACGCCGAGCCACTACCCCAGAAAATGTTCTCTCCAAGCTTGAAATCATTTTCTGGGAAAGAATGTTCCAGTTTACAATCTGCTTGCCTTTGACTAGCCCACCACCTCGCGTACTGCTCCAGCTGGAAGTCCCACATCAGTGGAAGCTCCCACTTGGTTGCTCTCACCAAGTTGTGCCTGAACAAGAACTCTAATGACTCCGCCATGCAACCCCAGCATAGTTGCTTTGACACCCTGTATATGGTTTCATTATCAGGCCTTTTCTGTTGGGTCAATTGAGGAATTGAAGATTTAGATTGAGGACTGTCTGGGAGAGTGTTAGCATTGCTGATGAAGGTGACAAGACCGAGAAGCAAGAACAGGAGGGTTTTCATTGTCACTTGGTCTGGTGTGTGTCACAGAGTTTTGAGCTATGCAGCTTTATTTATAAAGTGAACTTGGTTTAAGAATGTGGTTGGAGTTTTGCTAGTGTTGGAGGGGGTTACATCACTTGCCATTTAGGTGCCGTGAGGAATAATCGCCAATTCTTTAAGTGTGTGCTTAATATTTTAGTATTAACTATAACTTGTAAATGTTGTAGAATGTGGAGATATGGAGCGTCAGCTAAACGCATGTGAAGTGTGGGAGTGAGAAATGCACACGAAGATTATGCTGTGTGATCGATGATCGTAGGTTCCCCCGTGAGCCAGGGCTCTGTTCTGCCCGTGAGTTCTCTTGTCCTTATTATGGGACGTTAGTGCCCGCCATAGTATGTTCTAGAATGAACCACGTGACACGTGTCACAACTCAAGTCCCAAAGCACTTCAACATGTCTAATGTAACATGCTGGTAGTTTACAGACTTCTCCAAGGAAAATTTTTGTCACGAGTGAGGTCCTAAATCGGTTCTCCACATCTCTCTGCTGTAAAAAAGCTAGCAGTTCACAAACCAGCGTTTCATGTCTTCTTTATATTTGTTTGTTGCAATTTGACATCGTCATATTTGTTATAAATTTTACATCATAAAGACTGATGATTTTCTTGAGCTAGAGTCATCTCATCTCCCTACGTTACACAAATAAAAAACACCAATGTCCAATTACCATTATAAAAAATTTAGACATTAAATGATAAAATATAACAACCAAATCTGACCATTTTTTCTTTGTGAAACTTAATTGACGTGAAGTCGATTTTATAGCATTAAAGTCTAACTCTTAACACGATTAAAACTTATCCTAATTATATTTATTGTTTGTTGAACATGTTTTTATGATATTTATACCCGCGCTAAGAACGTTTTTCTTCTTTGAATTAATTATAGCAAGTGAATTAGTTTTACTGGATGTGCTCTGGAAATGCTAATATGCACTTTTCCTTATTTTATAATGAAGATGAATGTAGAAGAACAAAAAAAAGAAAACCGAAAAAGAAGAAATTTGCTTCCAAAACAAGAAGATAGATGAAAAGGAGAAAAGAGAAAAAATATTTATTGCTTCCATCAATAAATGAAACACTTTGTTTCATCCTTCTTTTCAAACTTCCATGAACTCACCAAAACAGGAGACATGGATTCACTCCACCTTCAGGAAGATTCGTAGCCACGAAAAAGTTTGACATATTCCCTTTTCGGCTCTTCATAGCTGAAATTGATAATTCAAAATGGCCAATAATAAGCATATATGGTGGCAGTGGACAGTATCATCACCATTGTTATAAGCTATAACTACCATTCAGCGTCGTGTTTTTTTCTATCAGAGGCACATTGATCTACATAATCTTCGCTTTGTGATGGCACACCAGGTTTTTGCTTCAGCAGATTTGATAAACTTTCACAAAACTGATAATCAAAATTAAAATTAGTAACCAAATTCATGAGTTTGCATATTCAGACAAGAAGAATTTTTCTTACTTTGTTATACGTTCTTATATCTTCAGTAGATTTTGATATTTCTACAACACAGTGAGTTGGAGCAACTTCAATCACCTGATAATTCTCACAAATATATGCAACAATTGAGCTTTCTTTAACAATGAACAAAAAAGAAAGGAAACAAAGGAGATTATGACCTATTTCTGATAAAATTAACTTTTACTCATATTAAAAAAACCTCGTCAGTATTCTGTTCAATTCAAAGTTTCTTTAACTTTTTAAATTATTTATGATGACTTTGAATTTAGGAAAAATAAAAATAAATCATCAAAATTTGTATATTATTTTAGGGGCAAACAAACTTTTTATTTTTATAAATAGTAAAAACCTTATCTTAATATAATGTCCTCCCCACAAAATTTAATCATTTTAATTGAATATTCCAAAATTTTTGTATACTATTGAATTACCATTAAGCTGATTAATGAAAAAAAAATCTTTTGAAATATTAACTGTGAAATCGTTATTTTAGTGTCTTTATAACTTTAACTTTCATTGNAAAACCTCGTCAGTATTCTGTTCAATTCAAAGTTTCTTTAACTTTTTAAATTATTTATGATGACTTTGAATTTAGGAAAAATAAAAATAAATCATCAAAATTTGTATACTATTTTAGGGGCAAACAAACTTTTTATTTTTATAAATAGTAAAAACCTTATCTTAATATAATGTCCTCCCCACAAAATTTAATCATTTTAATTGAATATTCCAAAATTTTTGTATACTATTGAATTACCATTAAGCTGATTAATGAAAAAAAAATCTTTTGAAATATTAACTGTGAAATCGTTATTTTAGTGTCTTTATAACTTTAACTTTCATTGTTTAGTTTGTCCTGAGTGTTGGTGAGTTAATTCTGGAGAAATGTTTTTATTACTGGTAGTTATTGACATATAGTAAGGAATATTGTTCATTCCTCTAATTTTTCAGGCCTATATTTAATGGTGTACCAAACTATGTTAGGAATATATATTACCCATACATATGAATAATTGGATACGAACTAATCCAAATTTATATTTGGATAAAAAATCACTTTTCCAAATAATTAAATTATAATTCAATTTCATAATTGTTAACTCTAAAGATACTATATATTCATATATTATATTATGTTTCATATCAGTCACATGTTTCACGTCTTTAATTTAATGCATTGATAAGAAATATAATAAAATAAAAATATTATAATATTTTATTTCATTATATCTTGATATTTAAGAAACACGTGTTAGTTTTATATTTATTTATAAATTTTTATATTACGTTTTAATATATATAAATTATTATATTATATATATATATATATATATATTACGTTTTAATATTAAACTCTTAAATAATACACAATTTTCAATAAGTATTTAGAATAAATAATATTCTCTAAATATATATTAATTTTAAATTATTACAAATTTAAAATTAGTTTTTAAATATCTGAAATATTTTATTTTGAAAATATATTTAAAATTCAATTTGTTTAGATTTAAGTTTATAAAAGTTTATTTATTTTTTAAAATATAGATTTGGATTTAATTCTACTCCATTTATATAAATTTAGCCTGAATTAATTTCAATCTTTCGAGCACCCTTTATCAAATTGATTGGCTAAAATTAATTGCGACTTTTTCAATAACTCATTCAAAATTTGAGATGCATAATTAAATTTAATTTATACAAGTTTAATTTTTTATGCTCTTATTTCCATTGAGGCCATAAAATAAATGAATTACCTGAGCTGATAAGTATGATCTGAAACTGGTCGTGGCCATTGTCTGTTTCGGTTGCATTTTTATCTGGCATCAGGAATGAAAATTCGTTTTGTTAGGCAACATTTCCAAAAGAGAAGGAACAATTTGACAAGCATTCATTTCAGAATCGAAGTACCATAGTTCATGCATGCATTAAAGAATCAGAGTAGCGTCGTTTATATTATACCTTAAAGTTGCTAATTTTCTCTATCGACAGTCTTGCATCGGTTGCAGCAGCTTCTATTTTTTCTATCGTTTCATTGATAGTGTGTTTGGATCCCATCCTTTTTGTCTGCTTATTTTCATCCTAAACCAGAAACTCACAACATTAGCTTTTTTAATGGCTTAATTAAATTTACAAATAAGGTGAATCCTCTTCCAGATCACCTGTTCGACAAAAAGACCAGATAGATCAAGATCCCGAGACATGGCTATTAGTTGAAACGCATTAATGAAACTTGAGGACTTAGATACCGTTGTCTCTCTGACATTTTCCTGTAGCAGAGATTATTACACAATTAGGTGCGTCAATCCATCCAAGTGAGTTTTTCTATAACTATTTTCTAACTTGCTAGTTGCCAACAAATTACCTCTATTGAATTGAAAGCAACATCAACATCCTCCGAGTTAATGTTCTGATCAAATTCAGATGCAAAAACAGGCTTGTAATCTTTTTGAAACCACGGATCTTCAATAATATCTGATATAGTTATCCGCTGAATGAGAGACAGGAATGGTAAGAAACCATTATACATTAATTTCACTTTTAAGCAGTGTTGTGGTTGTTCCTGAATTTTTACCTTTGCAGGACGTGGTTCAAGTATTTTGGCAATTAGTTTCTTTTGACTCCGAGTAAACCACGTGGGACATTTATATTCTGACTTCCATATCTTTTCACAAAGGAAATTAAATTAGCAGAAAATGTGAAATATTTGTTAGTGACGCAAGTTGTTCTCTCTTTTTCATTATTTTGACTGTTTACCTTACCTTTCCATATAAGTTCATCAAGTTCTGGTCGTTAAATGGTAAATAGCCTGCAAGTAATTCAAAAAGAATCACCCCACATGACCAAACATCAGCAGCTGCTCCATTATACCCCTTGCTCAATAGAAGCTGCACATGTAGGAGTTGTAGAATCAATATACACGTGCCCGACACCTTTTCTTCTGATGTTCCAAGGAAAGAGATTAAACCTTACCTCAGGTGCTACATAACATGGGGATCCACACCGCGTGGTCAAGACATCATTACACTGATGATAGATATATAACGTATCAAAATTGTACTCAGTCAAAAAATACTTATGATGGAACTAAGGATAAGATTCAAAGGAACAATTAATTCTACCTTTTGTAATGCACTTAATCCAAAGTCAGACACTTTGAGATTTCCCTTGCTGTCAAGAAGCAGGTTTTCTGGCTACAATAGCATGTCAACATTCATTTACGTTTCAACACTCCATTGCAAAGAAACAAATGCAGGTTCAGGTGAACTTACCTTGAGATCTCGATGATAGACCCCTTTGTTATGGCAGTAGTCCAGGGCATCAATTAGTTGCTGGAACAGTTTTCTTGCCTCACGTTCATTCAACTTCTCTCCATAGGACTGCAAATCAATTATCACAGTTGAAAATTGAAGAGAAAAAAAAAGTGCATATATGTTTCAATTTGAGGAACTGTTGATTCTCACCAACTTGTCTAGTAGTTGTCCTCCTGATACATATTCCATCACGATGTATATCTTCGTTTTTGTGCCAATAACCTGTTTCAAGAAGTTCATTGGTAATAAAGTATTGACAGAGGGATTAATTAAACTTCACTAAAATTCTAACGACAGATGGTATATATATATATAGGCATAATATATATATACCTCGTGAATGCTAACTATATTGGGATGATGCAGAAGTTTCATTGTTCTGATCTCTCTTTTAACCTGAAACATATGTTATCTTTGATTAAGAAAGTTAAATAAAATGTTACTCGATAAAGGGAAAGTGTAAGGATGAGGTTTTGCCTGAGTCTTAAGATTGTTTTCTAAGATCATATGCTTATCAATGACCTTGACCGCAACCTTCTGACCATTGGTGCCATTGACAGCCAGCTTAACCTTAGAGAAGCTACCTTCTCCAATGGTCCTAACAAGCTGATACTTGTCAATTTTTTTTTCAAACCCCATTGCTCTCCTAGCCAAGGACACTGGTTCTTTTGAATTTATTTCTCGCTAAGATGATGTGTGTATAGCAAATTGTATGCTATATCATTTTGCTATGACTTGAATCCAATTTAT